TACTCCATGGAGAAGTGTCCTATCTATTTGCTGAAACAAAACGAAGGCCTTGTGTCAATTAAAACTTATCTTTTTATTCAAAAAGCTCTTTCTTTGTCTTCTAATCTCTGGAAAGCCCAGCTGGAACCAGTATACACAAACCACCTCAGGGGTGGAACTTTTCTGGAGTTGTTTAGAATCTCAGGAGTAATAACTGTCTACAGTTTTAGTTCTTATAGGATATGTGGTAACCCTCCTGTATGGAGTAGCACATAAACCTATGTAAAGCATTCTTGAAAGTAAAACAAAAGTCCCCAACGATACAGCACGAGGATGCAATATCTGTCAAATCTCCCCCATAAAGAAGTGGATATAATTAGGATGCTTATTTAACATCCTCAGGGAAATCACAAGTTTATTCCCTGGGTGGAATGTCTGCAATGCCTTTTATAACTCAGCAATGCACATAATAAACATTCTCCCCCGATAGCCAAATTTCTTTATCCTTTGAGGTTGGACCTTGGAACACTGGTGGCGTAAACTCAGTTTTGTTGAGTCGTGGAGAGAGAATATTGCTGTTGTAAGTTGAGGTGCATGGCAGTTCCTTGTTCCCTTGCTCATGGTACTTTATATTTTCACAGACCATGAGGCAATCACAGACTCCCCCTTCTTTGCAGTTATCTCCAGTGTCAGTTCCTTTGTTACCTGCAGAGTGTACCCATCCCTTCTTCTCCCAGTCACCTGCTCCATTTGCATTTTGGCTGGTGTGGTCCCTTGTAGCATTGGGGCTAACTGAGGGACCCAGTTCACCCATTCTTCCCTAAAAGCCGCAATAGTCTTTCACCAACAGGAAATAAATGAAATGTCTGCTAGCTCACCTATAACTAATACTTCTGGTCTCCTGGGTCTGTGTGGAAGTTTTTGCTGTGGATAGAGTGAAGGGTTTTATACTGGGAATTTTAACCCATGTGGGCAGTAGCTTAATGTGAAAATTATAAGCCATCAGTGAATTGGCTGTGTGACTCACCCCTGCTCTAAAGGTTGGGTTGCACAATGTATTCTGAGGTTGGGGTAGAGCTGACCTTCTGAGCACTGGCACTGGGCCTCAGTGGTTGGATTGGGAAATCCCAAGCAAAATGACCCAGCTAGACACAGATGGGACATCATTTTTCCACATCATTCCCAGAGCTTTTCAGAGAATGCTTCCCTCCCCCACCCCTTCCATCTCCTAGTGTGGGTCTCTACTTGGGCACAATCATTGTTCCTTGATCCCATTCCATCCTGGTTTGGTTGTCTATCAAACCCAATCCGGCTGTCTGCATAATGATTTGTCAATTTCCAAGCTATGATTATATCTCTAGGATATTTTGTCATTGCTGCAACCTCTGCAGTACTGTCTCTTTAGTCCCTGCAAGTCCTGTAGAAGGAAAAAGGGAGCTCTTCTGGCTCCTTCTCTGCAGGGGATAACCCATTCTGCTTCAGATTCTCTGAATGCAGGATGGTTTACTATCTCCAGTTTCTTCACATAATACATTTAATTTATGCACATTTTATAAACATATAATCTAATTTAATATATTGTTAGAAAAAACCTCTTATTCCCCTCCCTTCCCCCTCAGGTTCTTTCTTGTGTCCTCATCTTTCAGGTAGTTCTAATTCTTCTCATAACTTCCTTCATTTGATGAACTGAATATTTACACTAATTTCTATTGCAAATGCTGTATGAGTAAAGGGAACCTGCCTCTCCAGTCCACACTATGGATCTCTGTTATATTTTCTGCTCTTGTCAAGTCCATTCATGGAATGGCTATGAGAGTTCTGTACATTACTGATTGGCACTGTAGATTGGAGAGAAAGAGATTGTCAAGACTTTTATTATATATTTTTTTCAGTGTTGCTATTTATTATGACATTCTGGGGAAAAAAGGAACAATAAGAATATAAGCACCATTTTTCATAGTCCTATGACAGATTTCCATGTACTGCATACCGAGTAGATTACATATGTCCCTACTAATACAATATATTTTTATTTCTTCTTTCACACACTCTTGCATATAAACACATGCCTCTCTTCTTCCCCTGCTGCTTTATCTATCTATCTATCTATCTATCTATCTATCTATCTATCTATCTATCTATCTATCTATCTATCTATCTATCTATCTATCTATCTATCTATCTATCTATCTATCTATCTATCTATCTATCTATCTATCTATCTATCTATCTATCTATCTATCTATCTATCTATCTATCTATCTATCTATCTATCTATCTATCTATCGTTCTAACATCTACAGTATAACATTCCGAAAGCACATTCTAACAAGAACTACTCATAATATTTTACTGTACCATATGCAATCTTATATAATTGGATATAGCTGTCAGTGACTATGCATCTTACCTTTACTTTCAATGCAATAAAAGGTGTCAGCATAAAGACTTGCTCTTGTCTTCAGGCTATAACATATTGTACAAATGAAACAAGTTAAAAAATAAAGGTTAGAGAAGAACATTAAGACTATTTACCACAAAACTGTAGGATTTAGGGTGGCTGAAAGTTAGATGAAGGGACAGCATGTTATTCTGGGCTAGTGTGAAACCTCTGTCCAATAAACAAGCTCCTAGACATGGCACTAAGGAGAAAAAGAGGTATTAAATACATTGTAGCTAGCCTTGTGATCTAAAGTTAACTTCTCAGTGGAAGAAAGCATGGAACAGTAGCAATTACCAGGAACAGAGTAGGGGAAAATAAAAATCAAGAATATGCAAGTATGTTTGGAGGGATTTTTTTGTACCATAAAGGTATTGAACATCCAACATTTGTAAATTCATTGCATAAGTAGTATGCTTAGTGTCTGATACAGTACTCCATTATTACTGTGATTAAAATATAAGTGCATGACTTCTTGGGCAAAAATCCAATAGAGTACATTATAGCTCTGACTCACCATGTGACTTCATCATTAAAATCGGTTATATCTATACAGTAATCTGCCCTTTGCAGGTTTGGTGAACACAGCTGGATTTTCAAAACATTTCCAGCAGAGAAGAAGAATTATGGTCTTACATTAAAATGGAAAATTGTATTTCTTTTATGATGATACATGTTTCTATTTTTGACTGCAATGGTTAGCTATAAAACAGTGTCAGTTTCTGAAATAAGTAGTGTCGGCAGCTGTCACTGAAGTTGCTTTTTTCCTGATGGATATGATGCTAGTAAACACTTTTTTTGCATGTCATCCTTCAAAAAAGTATTTGCCTTAGCTTTTCTTTGTTGGGAAAAATGTCACAAAAGGATTCCACTATATGAACAAAGCAACTTAGGTGGCACAACTATTGTATTAATATTTGGACAGCATTTTAAGTTGAGTCCTCTGTTTATAATAAGGCCAAACTGGCAATTTGATCACTGTGCTATTAAAGTTTGCTTTGTTGTACAACAAAATTCTGAACTGAATAACATTTCCTTTTCAGAGCTTTTATTTATTCGGTTTGTATTTGACCCTGATTCACTGTTCTCTCACAAATAATGCAGTCATTTATATGAGTGCAAAGTGAGAACAAAATGGTCTTAAAATGCTGTAACTGTAATTTAGCAGTATTTTCATTCACTTTGCCCTGCTTTGGTTTGGTATAAATGATTACACAAGGTGCAGGGCAATAGTGTATTGGACTCTTTGTTCCTAATTTTGGGGTAAGAAGGAGAAGTAGAAAACAGACAGACAAACAAACAGTAGTTAGTCGGCGGTGGGCTCAGTGCTCAAAAACTGGGTTTGGTCCTCCACACTCTTCTGGTTGCTTGTGTCTGATTGCCCTGGTAGTATTAGATCAATATATTCAAATGATTTCAGGGTCGAGAGATTTTTCACTACAAATATGGTGTTGGCATCTGAATGTGAAAAGTGCTGTGGTGAATAATGACGCTTCTTTATTGTACATAAAAGGCATAATGAAACTCAAATGGACACACTCATGCAAACAGAAATAGTCAGCCAGAAATATTTGTCCTTAGACTCATAGACTTTAAGGTCAGAAGGGACCATTATGATCATCTAGTCTGACCCCCTGCACAGTGCAGGTCACAGAATCTCACCCACCCCTCCTAGAATAATCCTCTCACCTATATCTCAGATATTGAAGCCTTCAAATACTTTGAAGACCCCAAGATGCAGAGAATCCTCCAGCTGTGATCTGTACCCCATGCTACAGAGGAAGGCGAAAAACCTCCAGTGCCCTTAGAATACAATTGGAAATTTAAAATGTTCATAATTCATAATTTTCTTTATGCATGTAGTATACCATAAAGTCAAATAAAAATCTGCTTTTAGATTATTTGTAATTCTTCGTAATACATATTTGAAGGGCTGTATTTACTCGTTTAAAGGAACTATTGCACACTATTAATGTTTGCCTTCATATAGACAATAAATCTCTTTTTACCTGTTTCCGAGGGGGTAGCTGTGTTAGTTTATAATTGGAAAAAAATTAAAAAACAGTGAATAGATTAAAAATAAATTTGCAACCTGGACCCCTTTTCTCCGCACCTCTGGGGCTCGTCTACACTGGCCCCTTTTCCGGAAGGGGCATGTAAATTTCACCAGTCGTCGTAGGGAAATCCGCGGGGGATTTAAATATCCCCCGCGGCATTTAAATAAAAATGTCCGCCGCTTTTTTCCGGCTTTTAAAAAAGCCGGAAAAGAGCGTCTACACTGGCCCCGATCCTCCGGAAAAAGTGCCCTTTTCCGGAGGGTCTTATTCCTACTTCAAAGTCTGGGAGTGCAATTCCTACTTCAAAGTAGGAATAAGAGCCTCCGGAAAAGGGCGCTTTTTCCGGAGGATCGGGGCCAGTGTAGACGCTCTTTTCCGGCTTTTTTAAAAGCCGGAAAAAAGCGGCGGACATTTTTATTTAAATGCCGCGGGGGATATTTAAATCCCCCGCGGATTTCCCTACGACGACTGGTGAAATTTACATGCCCCTTCCGGAAAAGGGGCCAGTGTAGATGTAGCCCTGAAGAAGTGGGTTGTGCCCATGAGAGCTCATGATATCATTAAATTTTTTGTTAGTCTCTAAGGTGCAAGACTATTCACTGGTTTTTATCTTTTTACCTATATATGACAAAATGTTCATCCTTAATTACACATGCCATTTGGAAAAATAAGAATATAATTTTAAAATACATAAATTCCATATGCCTGTAGCAATGATGAATTTGCTATTTCAAAATAAATTATTGAAGCAAGAAGACCCCCAAAAGAGTGTTATTAGGGTTTACAGACTAATTTGGCAAGCAACAGGTCAGAAGCAGTCTTGTCAAATCAGTCTGTAATCGCATAATGCCTTCTTGAGAGAGTTGCTATTCCATATCAATGCCATGCCAAGTTTCTGCTCTTGGTTAAAATTCTCCCAATACTTGCATTTTTGTATATTGTACTTTGTGATTTATATTATGTAACTTTGAAGAATCTAAAATATATAGAAACTGGTTTGTTAGTCTTTAAGGTGCTACTAATCTATTTGTTGTTTTTAAAGTTTTTCCTGGAAAAGAAAAAATAGTTAGCTGTGTGATATGTATGCACTGAGCTATTTCTGAAATAATGAGGCTTGATTAAAAATCTAGTTTTCATTAGCTTTATGCTCAAATTAGTAACTTTTTTTAGCTAAACCACGGGTGGGGAACCTCAGGCCTGAGGGCCAGATGTGACCCCTGGCTTGCCTGGATCCATCCGCCAAGACTCAGGGCCCATCCCCCAGTATTGAGGCGCCCACACTGGTGCTCCAAGCCCCACCCTCCACTGCCCTACTGCGGGGTTGGAGCACACAAAATCTATTAGGCTGGGCCCCCCTAGGCTCTGTTGTGGGAGGAGAATGTAGGGAGTGCCTTTCTCCTTTTCTGTCGGAGGGCCACCTCAGTGAGGGTTTCTTTTTTTGCTTCTCACTTGTGTGCGGCCCCCGACTGATTTTTTCTGAGTCAGTGGCCCCCGACCCAAAAAAGGTTCCCTATCCTGAGCTAAACCAAAGCTATCACAGAAGTTCAGTTTTCATTTAGAAGAACAATTTTAAATAACATTAAATAATACATTTATAAAATGTATTTAAATATTTAAAGTTAAATTAAAATGATCTTGTTTTTTTTCAGTTAGACCACAAACTAAGATGTATCTTGCCCTAGGCTGTAATTTCAGCAATGCCTTTGAATAGTAGTGGCAAAAATGTCAAAAGTGGCTGTGACTTATATACAGGCAGTCCCCTGGTTACGTACAAGATAGGGACTGTAGGTTTGTTCTTAAGTTGAATTTGTATGTAAGTCGGAACTGGTACATATTGTAGGGGAACCTCTAGCCAAACATTTTTTTTAGTTTTGGATAGCATAGGGAAAGGTTAACTCCCCTCTAATGTTTGTTTTGCTGTCTGTTCCCCTGTTCAGAAGATTTCACATCTATTTCTGTCCCTGTGACAAACTCAGGACTAAAGGAGTAACTCATCAAATACCAAACAGCTCTGCACCATGCTTTGAGCTAATAGCTTTATTTCCACACACCACCCAGGGTTCTAGGAGGAGGGTCCTTTTTTTGCTAACACAATGAGGCCAGCACTTTGTTTGTTTTGGTGGAGTCTTTGTTTGCCCAGGGAGCCCAGCATGTATAGGGGGAGGAGGGGCGGAGAGGCTGCTTTTGTCTGCTGTTCGGCAGCCTGTTGCTCAGGGGAGGGGGCAGCCTGTTGCTGGCAGGGGGGCAGCGGGCGTGGGGAGGCACTTTTCCTCTGCCTGGCCGCTCTGCGGGATCCCTGTCCCTGTGGCCAGCTGCTGCAGGCAGAGGCTAGTTGGAGCCGGCCGAAGAGGAGGAGGAGGGGGATTCTAGGACCCAGGTGAGCGAGCCCTGGGGACGCTGCTGCGCTCCGGGAGCCCGGCATGTATAGAGGGGAGGAGGGGCAGAGAGGCTGCTTTTGTTTGTTCGGCAGCCTGTTGCTCAGGGGAGGGGGCAGCCTGTTGCTGGCAGGGGGGCAGCGGGCGTGGGGAGGCACTTTTCCTCTGCCTGGCCGCTCTGCGGGATCCCTGTCCCTGTGGCCAGCTGCTGCAGGCAGAGGCTAGTTGGAGCCGGCCGAAGAGGAGGAGGAGGGGGATTCTAGGACCCAGGTGAGCGAGCCCCGGGAATGCTGCTGCGCATGTGCGGGAGTTGCCTCACCCCGTTCGTATCTAGGGATCCGACGTAAGTCGGATCCACGTAAGTCGGGGACTGCCTGTATCTGTCCTGTTAAAAGTCAGTGGAACTTGTGCTCCTGAATCACTTATGAACTTTTAAAAAGTGTACCTTATATGCATAACTTTAAGCACATAAGTAACCCCATTGCTGCCAGTGGACTACTCACAAGCATGGGCTATGCACATGCTTAAGTATTTTGTTTGCTCTCAGCCATAGGGTACATCTATACTGCGGGCTAAAGTTGAGTTAATATATGCAACTTCAGCTACGTTAATTGCATAGCTGAAGTCAAAGTACACTACCTTACTGGACTTTTGGCACTGTCCACACAGCAGGAAGTTGAAGGAAGAACATTCTTCCTTCAACTTCCCTTACTCCTTGTGAAATGAAGGGTTATAGGGTTACAGTAAGAAGCCCGTTATTTCGAAATAATTTTGAAATAATGGGCTTGCTGTGTAGACGTGCACTCTATTATTTCAAAGTAACGTGAATTATTTCAAAATAAGCGTTCGGTATAGACAAAGCCTTAGTGATTAGACTGATGAAGAGCAGCAGATATGCTGACCAGTGCTGCTTTTACTATGGAGTCCTGTCTCAGGGAGGATGCCCTCTGGTGTGCATTTTATTGTTACTCTGAATGGGGCTGTTGCCAGCAACCTACCAGCTGGGTGAAGTGAGGGACAGGACATACCCTCTAAACTTCAGAACATGCCTATTTTGTGGTAGGTTAGGCCTTCAAGGCTATTGGGAAGGCCTCTTTTGAGCGCTGTGGAATGATCCTGTGTTGCTGTTTGTATAGTAGGAAGAGACTTCCTATTCACTCTTCCTAGCCCCAGCACATCAGTGCAGCATAGGGCAAGATTGAGCTTTAAGTCTTTTGACATTGTCTTTAAAGCTGCATTTTAATGAGTTACTGTACAGAATTTAAAATGCACTTTTAAAATCTGCCTTTACCTTTTGTTTGTCCATATAATACAGTGACTGATATGGGAACCATCAAGTACACATCTTAACCGTTCTTTTATTGGCATATTTCCCTTTAAAATCCATGTACATGACTCCTGTTAGCATTAGTTGAGGGAAGAATATATCCCTTAATGAGTGTGGCTGTAGTAAGCAGAGAAAATGTGAAAACTGAATCATTGAGTCTGCACAAATTAGGTGATTTTAAGCCTATCGGAACAAATCCTCTCCTTAATTTGGTTGTGTTCAAAGCTGGTGATTAAAATGCATCCTTTTTATCTCCCTTGCCATTTGACATGGGTCTCTTCCCATGAAAGGGGACATCTGATAAAGCAGGAGCTAGTGTGAGTGCCCTTACCCGACTGTGAGGGAGGAATATAGGTGCAGTTGCTCAGCACTGTGATGCTACATGCCAGGCTTTAGATTCTCATTTGTATCTAAAGCAGGGAACAAATGTGTGTGATCAAATTGACATCTTTGTTCCCATTTGCAATCATAATTCAATCAAGATTAATGCTGTTTTTCTTTGTTTGGTGTAAAGCTGAAAACAGAAGAATTTTGCATGAAGAAGAAGTTGAAAAGTGCCTAGTAAACCTTTTGGGTACTGACAATGATGGCACCAAAGCTGCTGCTTCTCAAGCTATTTCTGCTATGTGTGAGAATTTAGCTAGCAAAGATGCTTTTGGAAACCAAGGTGAGTAAATTGGGGAAGAGATGGAATTAGTTTCATTAAACTCAGTTTTATAAGGCTTATATTATCATTTTACATTTCCCATGGTTTTTTTTAAGCAACATATGTACAATTATTTTTAAAGGGATTCCCCAGCTAGTTCAGTTGCTAAGCAGTGACAATGAAGAGGTAAAAGAAGCTGCTGCCATAGCTCTGGCTAATCTGACAACAGCCAGTCCTACCAATGTAAGGTAAGTATGTAATTAATAAATAACTATGTAAAATACTAGTCTAGACTTTCTCCTTTCTGTGTCCTAGATCTCAAGTCAATGTCAGTGAGAGTTATACACACACATGAAGAGAACACAGTATTACAGCTCAGGGGCCAGACTTTAACCTGATGCAAGGAATCTCTTGATGGCAATGAGCTGGTGTGGTAATTCTGTGCCACCCTCATTAGTCCCCGATGTAAGGGAGAAGGTCATGAAATCCCTACTCCATGGTGGTGTCCAGCTGCAGGAACAATTAATTCAGGCCTCTGGCAGCTTTTGGCTGAGCTGACCAAGAATGAGGGGAAAGTAAAATGGGCTTAAATTCACTTTTCTCTTGTCACACAGTCCTGCACCAGCCTTAGATAGGCTGGTGAATTTGATCCTAGGTCTGCAGATAAGAAAGTGATAATTTAGATTAAATGTGAATGTTGGATGAATGTTGTGTGACTATAATTACTTGCCAACTTTATTCCTAAATCAGACTCTCCTCTGAGTCATAGATGAGCCAAAGAGTAACTTTGGATGCATGAATGATACAGCCAAACTCTTCACTGGTACAAGTCAGCATGGCTCCAGCTAACCAGCTGAGAATCTAGCCCTATTTGCTCTATATTCATTTAACTCAAAAAAACCCCTAATCTTTTTCTTAATTAGAAAAAAATTCCAGCCTATAGATACTGAGGTACTGTAATCCATATTGATTCAAGAACAGTTTTTGTTTGTTGTTTTGTTTTTGTTTTTTGTCTCACTTGCAAACCACTGAAAGTAAGTACATTTAATGAGAATGCAGATATATCTTTAAAATTATGTGAATTTGCAGTGTCACGATATTGAGGCTATTCTAGTCATGTGTGGGGCTAATAAGAATAGAACAATTTTATTAGTTATATATTACCGTATTTTCCGGCGCATAAGGCGACTGGGCGTATAAGACGACCCCCTAATTTTCCAGTTAAAACATAGGTTTTGGCCTATACTCGCAGTATAAGACTACCCCCCCCCCTTCCAAGGCAACACCATTTAATAACATCAGATTTGATTTAAATAATTTTAATTAAAATGGTTTTGACTTACCGGTACTTAAAATCCATATTGACTTGCAGCAGCACAGTTATTATGTTCCTTGGCAAAGTTTACAACTTTCAGCTTGAAACTGGCTTCAAATTTCCTTCTTCTTGCTGGAGCCATGATGGGGTCTTTTCTACCACCCACTTACAGAACGTCCCTAATCTTTTAGGCCGCTGGATGTGCGGTAATACAGTACTGTAGCTTCGGCTACATACAGAACGTCCCTGTGCTGATACTTTATGTACCGTGCTGAGCCAATCCCGGCAAGGGGTGTATTCTATTAATGCATACAAAGACTGCTCGGACATTAATAGAATACACCGCTTGCCGGGATTGGCTCAGCGCGGTACATACAGTATCAGCACAGGGACGTTCTGTATGTAGCCGAAGCTACAGTACTGTATTAGGGCACATCCAGCAGGCTAAAAGGTAATAATAGGGACGTTCTGTATGTAGCCAAAGCTACAGTATGTTTATAACCGGCGTATAAGACGACCTCCGATTTTTGGGGGATGTTTTTTAGTATAAAAAGTCGTCTTATACGCCGGAAAATACGGTAGTTCCTTTTTGTGAGTCCGAGAGATTGCAGTCATAAAGGTAACAGCAACATATAAAGTTTTGTGTGACAAGAGCAACATAGTGGCTAACTCAAAAAGAGGTAGCCACTGGGGTAGAAGCATAGCATCTCTGACTGAGTAGACTGCTGAAGAGACCAGGGAGCACCCAGCAGTGAGGGAGCTGTGTGATAGTGCTATAGAGATATTTTGTGGTAGGCCCCTCTAATCTTTTGTCTGTCCTGCCCAGAGGGTCCTAAGCAAGATGCAGCCAAAGGTCCACAATGAGGTGTTACTTCAATTGCACCTTTACAGACTCTTTGGATTATAGGGTCCACACCCCAAACTGAAAGGACAGGGATGGGAAGTAGCTCAGGGCAGAGGATTTAGGCTATACTTGCACTTGATTGACAAAACTTTTGTCATTCTTGGGTGCTTATACCGTTCCCCCTCCCAGGAATGACAAAGTTTTACCACAGCAAATGAAAGTGTGAATGCTGCTTTTTTAGCAGAAGAGCTTCGCTGCTGACAAAGCAAAACCCCCTTGTGGGGAAGGAAGTATTTTGTCAAGAAAAGTGCTGACAAACAGCATCCACATGTGCAAACTTTTAGCGACAGGTCTGTGTCAACACAGCTTTGTCGCTAAAAGCTGCATAGTTCAGACATACTCTTAGACTCTCTGCTGGGAGTTGCTGCTTCCTCAGAGTCCCCATTCCACACCTATTGGTGACTGAGGCACCTTTGCTAGGGAAGCAAGTGGGCTAGAATTAATCACTAGGTCACCTAGCTCTCCATTACACAATTGGTGGAGAATGAAGGCAGATGTCCTAGTCCTAAAGGAAGTCTGGGATCAGGAAAAACACCTTCTTATGACAACAACCCCTCCCCAACTCTGCTAAAATAGAACATAAGAACATAAGAACGGCCGTACTTGGTCAGACCAAAGGTCCATCTAGCCCAGTAGCCTGTCTGCCGACAGTAGCCACCACCAGGTGCCCCAGAGAGGGTGAACCGAAGACAATGATCAAGCGATTTGTCTCCTGCCATCCCTCTCCAGCCTCTGATGAACAGAGGCCAGGAACAGAGGCCAAAATGAATGGCCAATCAGAATGTATAAGATCATCATCAGCAACAAGTATTTGAACAAATGGGCAATGAGCAACAACTGTTGGGCCACAATTTAGCAGCCCCAGAGCAGCAATAACAGCAGTAGCCTGTACAGCAGGCGGTCATGATACTACAGCCATCTACTACAGCAGAACCAGTGAGCCTCAACTTAGCCCTGGACACTGCCTGTCAGGTTACTAAGATGCAGCCTGGTGATAATCCTGAAGCCTTCCTTGAAACCTTTTAGCAAGTTGCCATGGTGACCTGATGGCTGCTAAACCAAAGAGCTATTTTGCTGGCTCCATGCCTAAGTGGGGTGGCACAACTGCATATTGTGCTTTAGACCCTGTGGAGGCCCAAGAGTATGCTTAGGTAAAGACAGCCATTCTTGGTGTCTGGGACACTTCCACAATGAACAGTATTCTCTGGGACCAAGATGCCCCCTGATTTCCCAGAAGCTATTAGATGAAGATGGGTTCCCAGGTTGCTGAGCATGTCCTGTTTGAACAATTCACCCAGATACTGTCCCCTTGAGAAAAATAATGGGTGACATCCTCCCAAAACCATTAATGACACTGTTCATCTCATGGAAAGTTATCTAGTGGCCAAGACCCCATACTGGCACTCTACCAGGGACCTGCGGGGACCACAGGTCCTATAGCACTGAATGATGGAACAAGTCATGAAAGCCAACACCTTGAGTGACTTCAATCCATTCCCTCCCCACCTGGGCCCAGGAGATCCCAAGGATCAAGAGGCCCATGGAGATCCTGGACTAAAAATGCAGAGCCTTTGACCCATACCTCAGTCTGAGAAACTACCATCCCACTGGAGTTTAAGAAGGCAATGTCATTGATCCCCAAATTAGGATGATCCCTTGCAGAGGGGACCTACCAAATACCCAGAGGAGGGCCCAATCATCACTGCAAAGACCAAGACAGGCCTTTTGCATGTGGTCTTCCAGGGCACTGGTTTCAAGATTGCCTCTATATAGAGTTTTGAGTTATTTTTTTTTGAGTTTTGAGAATATTTGGACCCCAGGGGCCTGAGCATGACAAGGAAATCCTGAAAAGATGACGTGCCCCATAAGCATGAATGGATAGAAATGGTGGGGCTTATCGATTCAGAGTGTCTCAGATCCTGGTGATCCCAAATGGCACCTTTACTTAATAATGTGTGTGTGTGTAGTGATGTGAAGTCTTACCCCTACATTCAAGTGTCTCTAACAGTGAGTGAGCATACAAAATCCTCATAGATTGCATCCCCTCTTACAAATCTCCTTAAAAAGGGCACCCTCTTCATACAGCATGACCTCTCATGCACCATACATTCAGGGTCTCACAGGTGGAGGTGGGGTCATATCAGCAGGGGCAGGTCCATGTTGTTTTTGGAAGTACTGGAATGTCTGGTATTCTGGGAATGCATGAATGAGCACCCTAATAAGGAGGAATATATGTGATGAAGCTAAGAAATCTAACACCTGAAAAAAAAAGGTTGAAGAGTACCTGTGAATCCAGCTAGCCAATGCTAGGCCTGGAGGAAGCAGAAAAGGTGAGAACTTGGCTCAATTCAGGGCTGACTGGCACAAAGGCAGAAGCTAGCTGCCTCCCTAAGGGGTGGCATCACTAGAAGCATGGTGGCTGGGGCAGACACAGGGAAGGAAGTACAGCATCCCTGATCAAAGGAGACTGCTAAGGAGATCAAGGAACATGGGGTCCCATTTCACATTTCAGTGGTGGCAGTAACTTTAACCATAATTCCAGGGGCTACTACTAGGCTGGTTTTTTTTTCCAGGTAATAAATGTATATATTAGTTGACAAAGTTCTGATATAAAGAAAGAAAAATATATTAAAACACCAAAAAGCCATATTTTAAGTTTATACATAAGTTCAGAACAGTCAGGAGATAATACAACAAGATATTCTCAATCACAAACTTTGAAACTTTGAAAGAACAAAGTTAGAAAATATATGTGTACTGCACATTTTGATAGGAAGTACCAAGAAGTAACAACAACAACAATACAAAGAAAGATTCTGTGTGTCAGGGGCATGTGCATAAGGGAAACTGTATGTAAGAGCTGTCCCGTTCATAGGCTGGTTTGTGGAAGCTGTCCCAAGCCCTGCTCCTTAGGAAACCCCGTAGTGGCCACCTCAACTGTCCTATGGACAGGTCCCAGGGTGGTCCCGGGAATTACCTAGGGGAGGAGCCTGGTGTGGGGTGGCAGCCACGTTATCCATGAATGTGAG